AAGAAATAAAGCCTGGCAGACAGAGCACATTGGGGCTTAGAAGCAGTGAACTCTCCTGGCCTGCCCTCTCCTGCTGACCTGCACAGAGAGCCCAGGTTTGGGCAGAGAGGAGCCTGCAGGATGGACAGTGTGAACCCTGCCTTGCACCTCCCAACCCCTGCCTTGCACCTCCCTGAGCTGGGAGATGCTCCAAGATTTCCCCTTTCTCCAGCAACATTCCTGCAAGGCACAGGGAGCTCAGGAGGCAGAGTGAATCAGACACTAGTCTTCTGTAATAGAGCTTCTGATGCCAAAGGAGAACGTGGTGATGACCCCCTACACTGGGTGCAGCTGGTGAGAAAAGCCCCTGCAGTCCTTGTGGGGAGCTCTTGAGACTGGGATCCACCCTGAGCACTGAGCCACCCATGTTTTTCATTTACCCTTACTGGATTCTTCTCCAAAAGAATTGGGTGCAACCTCAAAGAGAAAGTCCAGTAGCACCAGGATGAGTGTTGTATCTGCAAAGTTCATCTGTCCCCATCCATTCCGTTAACCTACACTGGATGAAGCTTTCTTCACTCTTCCTCAATGTCTTCAGATCTTGACTTGTCCTTGTAGTCCATCCAAACTCTCAGTCCCCTCTATGAAGCAGAGACATCACTGCTAGATCCTCAGACCAGCTCCCCATGTACCCCTCACTTCCCTTCAGTGCTCCCCCGATTCCCCTGGCTCCCTTGGCTCCAGCTTTGCACCCACAGTTACTCAGTTTTCACAGAGACCAGAGCAACAGAATGTGATTAAAAGTAATCCAGTTACCACAGCTTCATACATTACCCTCCCAGTCAGCTGAGTCCTGGGCTCAGAGCAGCAGTCTGGCTTCCTGGGTTCTTACTTCTGCATCTATCCGTGTTCTCCAAGACTCCTCAGCAGCCCACAACACATCTACCCTCTTTTACCACCTCACACATTTTTTTCTGCCAACATTATCAGGAAGAAATTCACACACTCCAGCAGTTTCCATGCTCAGCTAGACGTGGATGAAGACACATCACCATGCTTGCCAAACAGAGGTCCATGGTGAAGGCTTTGGCTGCCAACCTTGAACCTCACCTTACCTGAATCAATTATCCTTCTACCATGAAGATCAGGGGAGAGCAGGCACTGAAGACCTCACGGGGTCATGCAGCTACTCTGACACTAGCACAGAGCAGATGGGGAAATGGTGTAAAAAACAAGGAAGAGAAGGATATGAAGAGGCAGTGGAGAAGAAGGGACACAGCAGGACTAGTGTAGTGGAGGGAGGAGGTAAGTGCAGGTTTCTGGTATCCTCACCCACATGAAAGTGTCTAAAAAAGGCTGAAAACATTACCTAGAGATGTTGTTCCAGATGATCCTTGAGGTCCCTTCCAACCTGGCAACCTGTGATTCTGATCTTGAAACACCTGTTCTAGGGAGTAGGGTTTTGCTCAACCTACTGTGTTGGCCAAACTCAGGCACACACTGAAGCAGGGAGCTGGCAGCCCTGTCCTGGGCCAGGGATGCCAGGAACATGCAGGGCTACCCTTGGGATGAGACTGAGAAGCCTCCTGCCCTGCAGAGAAGAGCATAAAACCTGGGTGTGCCAGTCCATGTCCTCCAGACCCCTGGCAGAGCTGGGGGCTCTCAGAGTTCAAGGGAGCACCATCCTGATCTGCAGACCCTGCAGGGATGGTAGAAAAAGAGCTGAGAAGGCACCTCTGGGCCCTGGGAAGTTGATTTCAGGTACTTTAGAGCCTGACCAAAAAGGACAAGGCCCACGTTTGACACCTTGTGCACAATCGCTCCCATCACGCTGGTTCCTCTGGCAACTCCACGGGCTGGAGGGACTTCAGAACAGCATAAAAATGGGAATTGAAACCAAGTCTAGACAGGATGTGATTAAGGCCTCCATAAGGATTGCCCAGAGGTAAGGTCAGGGAAAGGACAGATCCTGGCAAGCCTCCAGAGAGATAGGTTTGAGTCCTTCAGGAGATGGGAGAGAGTTTGTCCAGCGAGGATACAGAGCCTGATGTGCAGCTGCCAAGGGGAAAAGATTCTCATTTGTAAAAGTGTAAATTAAACAGGACCTTCATCTCCAGGCCCTGCACCTGGGCTCTCCTCTCTTGAGCCATAATCACCGAAGCAGAACAACAAGCAGAAAACAGTCTTACAAACCACAGGAGCAGTGGTCCAGTTTGAGAGAGACTGGGTGGGAGGACCAGTGGGAAAATGGGAAACCACATGGAGCAAGGAAGAAAGGACTGGCTGGAAACAAGGCAGTCTCTGCTCGGGGAGAGGGAGCTCAGGCCCAGCAAAAAGAGGAGTCATAGACCTTCTGCACCAGGGGAAACCACTGTAGATCTTAGAATCATAAACAATTGGGTTGGAAGGGGCCTTAAAGATCACCTAGTTCCAACCCCCTGCACAGGCTGGGACACCTCCCATGCTTCCTGGATTTGACAGTTTATGTTCCCTTATTTCACAGCCCCTTGGGACCCAAGCAGATCCCTTGCTCCACTGGAGAAGAGGGGTCTCTGGCTTTCCAGACAGACCTTCACCCTGCAGCTCTGCAAAACCTGCCATAACCCTGTGACACCCTGCAGGCCTGAGAAAGCCCTTCCCAGGGACACAGCTGATGTCTCAGCATTGCTACCTCCAGCTCTCAGCTCCCAGCAACACAGGGCTCTGCACCACACCTGGGTTCACCCTTCGATTCACTCCTGCCCTCCATATGCTGTTCCCATTCCCTGCTCCTATCTTCTCACTTGGCTTATCCCAAACCCCTGCCTTGCCCATGCCAGGCTTCCACACGCACTGTGGCCTCAAGGCACCATCATTCCCCAATGTTGCCTCATGTTCCTGGCCAGCCTACAGCATCCTGCCCTTTCCTGGAAGCAGGTCCAACTGGGAAACCCTCTTCCAGCCTCACGCTCGTCCTCAGGGCATCACAAGCAGTGTCCTTACCCTAAGACATCCTCCTCCTGACCCTGCCCACAGCTGGGTCTCTGAAATGGCTCCCATGGCCATTTGGAGCCAGAGCAGCACATCTCCAAACACATCTGTCCTGGGGCTCTCCAGCATTTAATACAAACACCCCCCTACACACACATGCCCCACCTGGGCTGCAAACCACAACAGTTACAGAACCACAGAATCTCAGGTGTTGGAAGGGACTTCAAATGACCACCCAGTCCAACCCCCCTGCCAGAGCAGGGTCACCCAGAGCACATCACACAGGAACGTGTCCAGGTGGGTTTGAATGTCTCCAGAGAAGGAGACTCCACAGCCTCTCTGGGCAGCCTGTCCCAGGGCTCTGTCACTCTCACAGCAAATAAGTTCTTCCCCATGTTGAGGTGGAACCTCCTCTGCTCCAGTTTGCACCCATTGCCCCTTGTCCTGTCACTGGATATCACTGCACAAAGCCTGGCTCTGTCCTCCTGACACTCACCCTTTACATATTTGTAAATATTGACAAGGTCGCCCCTCAGTCTCCTCTTCTCCAAGCTCAAGAGCCCCAGCTCCCTCAGCCTTTCCTCAGCAGGGAGATGTTCCACTCCCTTCATCATCTTTGTGGCTCTCCCCTGGACCCTTTCAAGCAGTTCCCTGTCCTTCTTGAACTGAGGGGCCCAGAACTGGACACAACATTCCAGATGTGGCCTCACCAAGGCAGAATAAAAGGGGAGGAGAACCTCCCTTGACCTACTAACCACCCCCTTTCTAATACACCCCAGATGCCATTGGCCTTCTTGGCCACAAGGGCACATTGCTGGCTCATGGTCATCCTCCTGCCCACCAGGACCCCCAGGTCCCTTTCTCCTACCCTGCTCTCCAGCAGGTCAGCCCCCAACCTGTACAATTACTCATCATTACTCCACATTTGGTTGCTCCTACAGACTTCTGAGTCTGACCTGAACACCAGCAACTCCAATCCACCCAGGAGAAGCCTCCTGACTTCAAGCTGGCCACCACATTTCCATATCTGTGCTACACAGCCACGTGTCTACCTGATCTTCATTCATGCAGGTGGCCCAGAAGACCCTGAGCAGCAAAGAAGAGCAGGACAGAACAGGGAAGAGTTCCACTGATGAATCAGTAACAAGTTTCCTCATGGATCATGCAATTTTTTATTGTACTTTGGCAGAAAGAAAAAAAATAAAGTTACTCAAGCCAAAGCAGGGGACTAATTACTTGTTGAAAATGAAGGAGTCACTTATTGTAACACAACCCCTGGTCTGGGCTGCCAGGGAGATGATGTGTCTCATATTCTGCTGTAACATCCAGAAGGTGTTACCCAAAAACTAAGATGAGTCAACTAAAAACTCCTCTCTAGCTCTGTGAAGATGACACCTTGTTCACTCCAACTAAACTTGAACCAAAGTTATTCTGTACAGGGGTGAGATTCTCTGAAGAGGCCCCAAAAGGGCAGTTCCCTTCAGCACCAGAATCATTCAGGTTGGAAAAAACCAGTAAGATCATCCAGCCTCAAAGTGCAGGCAGGGGCTCTCCCAGCACCCGTTCCTCTGTCCCTGGGGCTTTGCAGGATTCCCAGGTGGGTGCAAGAGAAACCAGCAGCAAGTGGAATAAACACTTCAGTTCTGCCAGTTTGGATGGTGAAAGCTGCCACAGACACGGGCTGAGCACGTAGCGAAGCTGAGCTGCTCCCCCAGATCCTTAACAGCCCTCAGATAACATTGCAGAAAAGTAGCTGAAGTAAGTGAAAATAGAGGAACTGGGATGTGTGACTTGAACTACATTTCTGGAAACCCCAGTAACCAAGTCCCTGTCTAGTTTTTTAACCTGGAAGAAAAAAACTCTTTAACTCCCTCTTCCTGAATCCACCCGTGGGGCTGTGACTGGTGTATCCCACACTAAACTGACTACAGGCTTTCCCAGGAATCATATTAACATAAGTATTGCACAACAAAACACTTCCCTTCTCAATCTACTAGAGAAGATTGCAGAAGAGCATCTTTAGAAAGCTCAGAGAGTGTGGGAAGTCTTACCTGTAGAGTCCTGTTTCTGCTCTCGTGGAGAAACAGCTCCTCTGACAGAAGCAGAGTCCGGGCTGGGTTGCAAAGATCTAGGGGCTACATTTGAAAGGAAAAACAAAAGAAAAAAAAAACAAAAAACAGAAAAAGAAACAGTCAAATCTTCCACTGGAAGTGTGGTTTGCCAGAAAAACTTTCCACCCACTCAACCCGCTTGGTCTTCATGTTGAGCTGCAACTCATTGAGGGAGCAACTGCCCCACAGGGCCGGCCTGCAGGCCAGGGGGTGACAAAGAGAGAACCTTACCAAAGAAACCTTCCACTTGCAAAGAAAACCTTCCACTTGCAAAGAAAACCTTCCACTTGCAAAGAAAACCTTCCACTTCACACTTACGTCAGGCCCGGCCATAAAACGACAACCTGCCCCTTGTCTCCCTGCCTGTCACCTGCTCTGCACCCTGCAGGCTGGTTCTGGTGCTTCTTGGCAGGAAACACAACCACAACAGTGACACGTTGGGTTCTCACGGTCCTCAGAGCAGAGTGTGCTGGTACTTGGTGTCAGGGATTGCACCCACAGTGAGCTGCAGGGACAAGACAGTGGCACTGCTGGCAGGGCAGGAGGGAGGGTTCCCCACAGCCCCAGAGATTCATCAGTCATGTCCTTAAGTACACAGGACCAGATGAGGTTTTGTAGGATCCTGGCCATAGGAAGGACAAAACAGAAGATGTGGAGGTAGGCAGGGGTACTACCACCTAATTCAGGGTTAAATGGTAAGAAAATTATTTATTACACAGGCGAATCCTCTGTCAGGTCATTACTGCTCTGGATCCTTGGCTGTGATTTTAGTGCTGCCACCAGCTAATGCAATAAAAAGCAAAAAAAACCCCACCTTTGCACACTATCATTAACAGCACAAAGAACCCATGAGAAGAAATTGATTTTCAATGAAGCCCAGGAGTCAGGACACCATCTGACTTATGTAAGCACCTGAGGACCAGATGTGAAAGCTAAAAAGGGAAAAATCTCCAACAGAGAAACAGAGAGCAGGAACCAATGCCCTTTCAGAAAGTACCCAGCACTGTGCTGAGCCAGGTCCAGACAAGAGAGCAGAGGGTGACAGGAGATCCATGGATTCTGCTGGGAAACATCCACCTTGTGTGACAGCCTGGACCCAGCCCACAGCAGGAAGCTCTGACATGACCCGTGGTGCTGGGCACTGGTAAAGAAAGCTGGGGAGGGACTTTTGACAAGGGCATGGAGGGATAGGACAAGGGGTAATGGCTTTAAACTGAAAGAGGGGAGATTTAGATGAGATATTAGGAAGAATTTCTTTAGTGTGAGGGTGGTGAGAGCCTGGCCCAGGTTGCCCAGAGAAGCTGTGGCTGCCCCATCCCTGGCAGTGTTGAAGGGCAGGTTGGATGGGGCTTGGAGCAACCTGGACTGGTGGGAGGTGTCCCTGCCCATGAAGGGGGTTGGATCTAGATAACCTTAAATGTCCCTTCCAACCCAAACCAGTCTGTGATTCTATGACTGCATTTGATCCCTACCACCTCACTTCCAGCTGCACTTACCTGCACAAAGACAGGGAACACCAGCACCTTGGGAGCCAGCGTCACGTACGTGCCGTAGCTGGAGTGCGGGATGTGTGGCCTCATGATGGTGCAGTTCTGGTAGTTCCCATAGTTCTTCATATTCTGCACTGTCTTCATCAGCCTGGATTTTCTCCCAGACCCTGTGTGTGATTTCCCTTTACACTCATTTCCTAGACCAAAGCAGAGGGAACAGAGAATCAGGAGGGAGTTCCCACTCTGCCGGCTCAGCTCCTGCTCTGGAGCCTGCAGGGAATCACTGGAGCCAAGAGCTTCTGGGGCATTCATCACTCTGACAGCAAAGTTTCCCAGAGATTCATGAAATCACAGCACTGACTTCATTTTTCCTAACACAAAACCCTGGCATTTCTGCTGCCTTCTGCACAAATTGTGGCCATGGTGCTTTGGAGGAAGGGATCTGGTTCTGTTACATGCACCTTCCCATCCAGTGCTGCAAGTGCAAAATAAGACACACAGCACAGCCCCAAACATGACTTCAAATGGTCACAGGAGCACCAAGGAAGTTCCCACCATGGGGGAATATCTGCCTGTACCTCTGAACTATGAGCCTTCCCTTTCCAGGGAGGGGAAAACCATCTGTGATTAACCCAGGGTGGAGGGGAAAACCACTGGAAATGTAAACCTTGGGACATTTTTATCCACACAAGTCCTTCCTGCTCTGGATTCTAGGCATGGGAGTCAGCAAGTGCAGGAACTTCACACCATCAGACACTGGATTAATCACAGTTTTTAGAAGACTGGAGGTGACAGAAAAAGGGACAGCAGTGATAAACACATTCATGCCCACGGGATCAATTCATGCTTTTCCAAATTGCTCCCAGGGATGTGATGGTTACTCAGACATGGTGTGTATTTATAAAGGATGACCTCATTTTGCACGAGGCTGGCACAACATCACCCACTTCTTTTCAGCATTGCATCTTGCTGCTGGAAAAAGCCCCAGCAGCCTGACTGGTTTGCTCTGTCCCTCTTCAGGGCAGAAAGCTGTTATCCTGTTGCACAGGAGGGACTACACAGCAGCTTTCCTTTACAGATTCCCACCTCGAGTGGTCCAGCAGAGCTAGGACTGTTCTCAAAAAGCCAACACCCAGTGGTGCCTCTGAACACACCCAGGGAGCTCCCACCAGCATTTTGTCTGACTAGCACAGGGTGCTCTGAGAATGCTTTGCCTGGCTAGAAAATACCATTTTGTCTGCCCCAGCACAAGGAAGTGAGAGCATCACAGACCAGGGAGATGGTGCCTGTTCCCACAACAGCCTGGTTTGGTGGGGGATGTGGGAGGCAGCAATGCTAAGGATGGATTCATGTGAGTCCTGAGAAGGCCACAGAGATGCTGGGAGGGCTGGAGCAGCTCTGCTCTGGAGCCAGGCTGGGAGAGTTGGGGTGTTCAGCCTGGAGAAGAGAAGGCTCCAGGGAGACCTTAGAGCAGCTTCCAGTGCCTGAAGGGGCTCCAGGAAAGCTGGGGAGGGACCTGGGACAAGGGCAGGAAGGGAGAGGACAAGGGGGAAGGGTTTTTAATTGGAAGAGGGAGATTCATGGGAGACATTTGGAGGAAATTCTCTAGTGTGAGGGTGGTGAGAGTCTGGCCCAGGTTGCCCAGGGAAGCTGTGGCTGCCCCATCCCTGGCAGTTTTGAAGGGCAGGTTGGATGGGGCTTGGAGCAGCCTGGGCTGCTGGGAGGTGTCCCTGCCCATGCAGTGATAGGACTGGATGCTGTTTCAGATCCATCCAACCCAAAAAATTCTATGGCTCTGTCATTCTCTGCATCCTCCTCCCAGACCCATCACACAGAGCCAGGTTGAGACCAACACAGGGGACCAGAACCAGAAAGGAGCTGCTGCCCATTGGGCTGCTCTGCTCTCAGGTGTGCTGGAAGCAGGGAGCAGCTGGGAAAAAATTCCCATTAATGACATTAATCTATTAGGGCAAGGGGCTTCAGCATTCTCTTGTGACCCTAGCACAGAGTTCTATCCACCCCTGATGTCCCTAGGCCCACAGTGCCACAAACTCCCATGACAGCAGCACCACCCCCCACTGGCTCAGAAGGTGAGACAGGTTCATGTTGCCCAAGAGCCCTGAACCTCATGCCAGGCTCTGCTGGGCACCAACAACCTGTGCTCTGTCCTAAAACTTGCAGACAACAAATCCAACAGGAACTGTACACATCTCTAACCAAAAATTTGTGCCTTCTTCAACAGAAGCCCCACAAAAAAACTGAAGTATTTCTTGCTGCCTCCTGGAGCTGATGAACCAGACCAGCTGGGGTCCAGCAAACAGGCACCTCCCTGGCACTGAAACACATCCAGATGAGAAATGAGAGCATCAGCCCAGCATGGTCTCAGGACCATATGTGAGCCCTGCAGCCCCTGCTGGAGGGGTGTCCCAGCAGAGACCCCCCCAGTGTCCCATCTCCAGCCCCAGGCCACCATAGCAGATTTCTGTGCAGTGGCTTCTGCCCTTGCCCTGGAACAGACACACACAGCCTTCCCAGGCAGAAACGAGCCAAAACACTTCCGAGCATGGCTGGGAGCAGATAAGGCCTCGTCCAAAGCAAACATACAAACCTACCCAACATTACATATTCCATTAAGTATTAGGAAATAGCACATTTACCTTCAGATAAAGGCCAGCAGAGCCAGGCCATGCTCTGTTGGCAACCCAAACCTGCTGTTTACTGCTCCCTTTCACAGCCTGCCTTGGCAGGGGGGGTGGCCCCTGTGACCTAATAGGCTGTTTCTATCTCTAAGTGCAATCACCCTGACATTTTCTCTTTTCCCTTTCTCATAGTTGCATTGCCAGATAAAAATCAAAACACCAGAGACGGCTCAAACCAGGACAGATATAATCTGTCTAGGCTGTTCAGGATCTGCTTTTCCTCTTATCCCTAAATCACCCCGTTTTAGCAGAGGAACTCATCACCTGCACAACCCTGGTTTCTGCACAATGGCACAGAAATGTGTCCAGCCTGCACAAAGTGTCACCTCCTGTCACCATATGACTGGTGGCCAGCTCCACACCACCACACTTAATCCTTGCTCAGGTTAACCAGTGGATTCTTCCCCTGAAGACTTAAACTGAAAAACCATCACCAAAAACTGTTCTGGGAAGAAGCCCAGGGTCATTCAAATGTCACCGTGATGTAAGAACAAGTCCCACAGTCCAGCTCCTCTTGTCACAGGATGCTCCAGCAGCAGGAAGGAGCTGCAGTTATCCACAGCACAAAACACCCACCTGCAGTTGAGCTGTGGAAAACTCTTCTGGCTGCGGAGCTCCAGGTCTGGGAGCACCCAAAACAGAGGGGCCTTGGACCCAAACTGTTCCCTCCTGCTCCCCAGCATCCCCACCAACCCCACATGTGGCCTTCCATGGACACCCACCTTCACAAGGATCACAGACCTTCCTAGCTGTACCCACACCAGGGAAGGGCAAGATGATACTGAGGAGGCCAAGCTCTCCTAAGGACATCGCAAGGACATACAGCTCATCCTCAGGACATCCCAACAGACCCGGGTGCCAGCACAGCCTCCCAGAGCTCCCAAATCAACAAGCAGGCAGCAGGTGCTTCTGCATGGACGATTCCTGCAGTCCCTAGCCCTGCTGCACACTTCATCCCACTCTTCCCACAAGCCCATCCATGCCCAGGAAGACCCAGGATACCTGCTGCAGAAAATGAGTTTATTTCAAGAGTTTTTGAGGAGAGCTGGTCCAGACCCTGCCAGAGACCTTGCACCCACCCAGGAACGAATATTGCCCAAAGCTGGGACATAAGCCTGCTCTACTGTTTGCACCAATCCAAACCATGGTCATCCTCTCTCCCTCAGAGATAAAATGAACCTCAAAGCAGGGGTATGAACACCCTCCATCAAGGCATCATGCATGAGAAGGGAAAAAAAGTCATAGACAGGCCCATGGACACAACTGCAGAACCACCACAAAAATGCTCAGCACTTTTCCCACCTCTTGCTTTCATTGTGCCCCTGATGGAAAGTCCCTGCCACCTTCAGCCACACTGTGACATCCCACAGAGACTTTCTCACCACCAGGCTCAACAGTGACACCTGCAGCTGTGCTTTCCTCTGGGCTTGGGGGTAGGGTTTTATGTTTGACCCAGAATGGAAAGATGATCCTAACCCAAGAGCCCCAGATTCTGCCACAGTTCCCAAACGTGAGGGACTCCATTGAGGCACTGCAGGGCTAAGGGCAAGGGTGAAATAGTGCTAGAAACACCATGTTTAGCTCTGCTGGGTGCTCTGAGCAGCATATTCACAGAATCACAGAATCCCAGGGGTTGGAAGGGACTTCAAAAGACCACCCAGCCCAACTCCCTGCCAGAGCAGGGTCACCCAGAGCACATCATGCAGGAACATGTCCAGGGGGGTTGGAATGTCTCCAGAGAAGGAGACTCCACAGCCTCCCTGGGCAGCCTGTCCCAGGGCTCTGTCACTCTCACGGGAAAGAAGTTCTTCCTAATATTCACATGGAACCTCCTCTGCTCCAGTTTGCACCCACTGCCCCTTGTCCTGTCACTGGACATCACTGCACAAAGCCTGGCTCTGGCCTCCTGACACTCGCCCTTAACATATCTGTAACCACTGATGAGGTCGCCCCTCAGTCTCCTCTTCTCCAAGCTCAAGAGACCCAGCTCCCTCAGCCTTTCCTCAGCAGGGAGATTTTCCACTCCCTCCATCACCTTTGTGGCACAACTTACCCACAGTAGTGCTGTCCTCTTGATAGACAGGCCTCAGCAGCTGTAAGACACAACCCAGGAAGGACACAGTCATCTGAAGCAGGCTTGAGATGGACTTCCATAAGTACCAACTGAAAACCTGGGCATGCCAAGCCCAGCAAAGCCAAAGGGTTTGTGCTCTATTACCAACAGCAAACGAGAGCCATGCCCTGAGCAGTGGGAACACTTCCCATCTCCCTCCCCTGAGCGAGCCCTGGGAGGAGGCAGCAGCTCCCTCACCCCAGCTCCACAACCCCAGCGCTGGCTGCTTCAGGAAAACCACGAAAGCTCCCCCAGGGGACACAGGGTCTTGTTTGGAAACACAGGCCTTGCCGGGAAGCACAGCCCGTGCTCCGTGACACGGGGAGGCCGAGCGGAGCCCGGCCCTGCAGCTCCCACCAGCCCTACCTGGCTCCCCGGGTTCACAGGTGCCAGGAGGATGTAGTTGTGGTCGGAGGAGGAGGAGGGCAGGAGAGGCAGGGCGGGCAGGGTGTGCTGGCCCCGCTTGCCCAGCTCCGCGTCCCGCTCCCAGCCCAGCACCAGCCCCGCGCTCCCGCACAGCACGTGGCAGCTCCGGCGCTGCTCGGGCCGGGCCAGGCCGTTCTTCTCCCGCTTCTGCGGCGGGGATTGCAGGTCGGAGGCAGATTTGCAAGAGGACCTGCGGATCATCCCTTCCTGTCCTGTCTTCACCTGCGGGACGAGCCGCCAGACCAGCAGGATGATCTCCGTGGGGCAGTTACTGAAAGGAGATGGCGTGGGATGAGGATGGAGCAGCAGGGAGGGAGGGAGGCACCAACACAAGGACATGGAGGGGCTGGAGCGTGGCCAGGGAAGGGCAGTGGGGCTGGGGAAGGGGCTGGGGCACAAGTGTGAGCAGGAGCAGCTGAGGGAGCTGGGGGTGTCCAGCCTGGAGACAAGGAGGTGAGGGGAGACCTGCTGGCTCTGCAGCTGCCTGAGAGGAGGTTGGAGCCAGGGGGGTCGGGCTCTGCTCCCCAGGAACAAGGGATGGGACAAGAGGAAATGGCCTCAAGCTGCCTGGGGAGGTTTAGATTGGATATTTGGAACAATTTCTTCCTGGAAAGGGTTGTCAGGCCCTGGCACAGGCTGCCCAGCTGGAGTCCCCATCCCTGGAGGGGTTTCCAAGCCCTGGAGATGGTGCTGAGGGACATGGATTAGTGGTGGCCTTGGCAGGGCTGGGTTGATGGACTTGATGATATTAAAGGTCTTTTCCAACCAAAATTATTATCTGATCATTCAGGCAGCCATGAGCCCTGCAGTCCTTCCTCCCTTAATGCCTCTGTCCCTGTCCTGCCCTCCCCAGCCCCTGCATCCTTTCTTCTTCCACTCCAGAGAGTCCTTTCCCAGTTTCCTGCACCCCTCAAAGCCTTTCCCTCCCCACAGCCCCTCAAAGCTCCTGCTGCCCTGCCCTGGGCTGCCTCAAACCATCTCTCCCAGAGCCCTGCACTGATGCTTGGGGTGAAAACTCACCGGATTTCGTGTGCCAGATCCACACATTTCCAGTGCTCCACAGGCTGCTCGTTGAGCTGCAGCACCGTGTCCAGCTGCTGCAGACCAGCCTTTTCTGCTGGGCCACCTACAGAGAGAGGAGACAAATGCCACTCACCTGCTGGGCAGGGAGCTGAGAGTATGGGGCAGAGGAGAAGCCCTGGAGCTTGAGACACTCAAATAGCCTCACAGCTTCACTCTCTCCTCCCAACCCAACGTGTTTCCTCTAACACCCACACCTGAAAATGACGTGGGCCCAGCCAGGGAGGACCTTCACCTTCCAACATGCACGCAGGCAGAGTGCTTGGGATGAAGTCATAAATGCTCTCTCAGAGCTACTGCAGGAACTTCTCATGTTTCCCAGTGCACAGCAGGGAGCACCAGCTACAACAGAGACTCTAAGCTCACTCCACACATCCACACCAAGAGGATCTACTCAGGCAACCGAGGGCTCCCACCATCCTCTGTGCCCCTGTCTGACACCCCCTTACAGATGTCTTCTGTGGGTCTCCCCACCAGCCAGACAATTCTAAGGTTGGAAAGGGAAGGGGAAAAAAAAATATCTGCAAATCACTGCAATGCTGCCAAAATAGTGACCCAGCACTAACCCAGGGGGCTCTGAGCTCTGCAGGGGCTACAGAATGAAGTGAAGCTTCTTGGAGGTAACCAGAGGCAATGACATGGGAGCTTCTGAATCACCACATGCTCTGGGCAGCAAAAAAGGAGCAGAGTCATTCACTCAGATCAGGAGGGATAAAGATGATGGGATCTCTTACCAGAGTCCACTGCCTGCACACGGACCGGGGAGTCACAGCAGATGGTGAAGCCAAACCCATCGCTGCCTCGAGGGATGGTGATCTGAGGAGACAGGGAGCAGCCTGGTCAGTGGGGGAGCAGCCACGGGGTGTGCTCAGCCAGCACCTCCTGCACCCCACAGCCCTCGGGAGCACAGCCACAGGGCAGGGCTGGGAGCAGCCACAGAGCCCCAGGGGAGCGGGAGCCCCAGGACAACAGGTCTCTCCCCGCTGCTGCCAAAGGAGGGTGGAGAAGGTGCCGAAAAGCAACACAAATTCCAGCCAAGGATGGACAGAGAGGAAAGCCACAAACCCAGAGTTTACTGAGCATACACACATCTCCAGTCATGACTCTTGCAAGTGTAAGAAAAGGTCTGATAAACCACTGGAAAGGAAAACCTGGGCTCCTGCCTCTAACGCCGATTCCTAACACGGCTTCTCTAAGCAAGTCAACTGAAAGATTTCATTTCCAGTCGGGCAGCACAGGAGCAGCAGCCCTGCTCCTGAGGAAGCCACGAGGGTCAGGACACTCCTGCCTGCCAGGCATCCACACAGGAGCAGGCTCTGTGTGCAGCACCCCGTGAGCTGGGGTGAGTGTGTTTTCCCTCACTGGGTTTGGAGAGGCTGGATGCTGTGTTGATTTAGGCTCATTTCTCCTCCCGATTCAAGCAGCATTGAGCTTATTAATAACATTATATTTATTTTTTGATGTTGGCTTCCAGCAGCAGCTCAGCATGACAGTTTGTGTAAATACCTGATTATCCCCCGAGACAATTTTCAAGATCTTTGCTTTACCAACAGAGAAAAGAAAAGATAAAAGCCCAACATCTGACCTGTATTATTTTGAGAACAGTCAGAAAGATTCAGCAGAAGCTGCCAAGGAGGGGAACTGATTCCACATTCCTTTACCACAGGAGGGCAAACACAGCGAGTTTTCATTTCTCTCCACCTTGAGCTTGATTGCTCAGCATAAAATCAGGCTTTAAAAGAGAAACTGCCTTTCCCTGGCAGAATCAAAAAGTAGGTTCAGTCCCACTACACTGAGGATTTTTCTCTCCCACCACCACGGCCATTACAGGCAGCTGAGCATCCAATTTTGCCACTGTGCACAGAACTAATACAAGCATCTGACACAAGCTGGAAGGTGGGTGGTGAGAGACTTCAACATGGCAGAGGCTCCTTGTACCCATAACGTTTTCTTTTTCTTAAAAAAAAAAAAAAGTAGAATAAATTGTCAAAATAAAGAACCGAAGAGGCCTAAGACAAAAATCACACTCAGTTGTCATTAATACAAAGCAGAGCAGCATTCCTGCCTGTGACAGTCACTACAGCCCTGACAAGAATTGGGCATTTTTAGATAAGCTGGGTTTTTTGTGCAATTCCCACTATCCACTGTCCCCCACGGCAGCTTTAACACGACATGGAAGCCGAGCAGGAGTGCAGGGAAAAGGTGAGCATGGGCTGGGAGCCTCAATCCAGACCATGGGTGGAAAACTAAGATTGAAATTGCAGGAGACTGGGACTTGTGCAAATGAAACCAGCACCTGGCATCACACACCGAGCAGGCCCAAGAGAACTGGCACTGGCTCTACAGAGCACATCAACCTGCTTCTCCTGGAGCAGGTCGCTGGTGGTTGTAACCAGCTTCAAGGAACACTCAATTCCCAGACACATTCATGTTAATATTTTTACAAGAGCCTGGCAAAAACATAGGTGCCTGCTGTGCCTGCCTCTCCTCTAGTGAGTGGTAAATTGAGACACCACCTCACAGCTCACTGCTCCCATGGCCAGTCTGCACAGTACATGTTCCCAGTCTGCAGGAACAGGCGGAGATCAGCCAGAGACCCTGGCCTGAAGACACTTTCCTTGTATCCCCAATATCATCACCTACAAATGATAATGACAGCAAATCAGCACCCTAGAAACAACTCGCAGCCCAGAAATGGCAAGAAAGCCCACAGACACCCAAGAACTTCTCCAAGACTTGCAGCAGTGCACTGGGATTACCCTCTCCCAGGAGATACAGACCTGCCGGTACCTGCGCTCCGAGCACACCTTGCAGAGCCCATTGTAGCGGTTCATGGCTGCAACCCCTCAACTCGCCGGTAGCCCATGAAAATCCAGTCCCTGCAGCACAGCTGTAATCCCGGTCTCCTCGTATCACACGAGTGTGGAACAAACCCCAGTCAAACTGGCATGACCGCCCATGGGAACCCAGCTCCAGAGAAGAATGGCAGGAAGCCACCTCTCACCTCCCCGGCCCCTGCCTGCGCTGCGTGCCGCTCCACCACTACAGCCCTGACAAGAATTGGGCATTTTTAGATAAGCTGGGTTTTTTGTGCAATTCCCACTATCCACTGTCCCCCACGGCAGCTTTAACACGACATGGAAGCCGAGCAGGAGTGCAGGGAAAAGGTGAGCATGGGCTGGGAGCCTCAATCCAGACCATGGGTGGAAAACTAAGATTGAAATTGCAGGAGACTGGGACTTGTGCAAATGAAACCAGCACCTGGCATCACACACCGAGCAGGCCCAAGAGAACTGGCACTGGCTCTACAGAGCACATCAACCTGCTTCTCCTGGAGCAGGTCGCTGGTGGTTGTAACCAGCTTCAAGGAACACTCAATTCCCAGACACATTCATGTTAATATTTTTACAAGAGCCTGGCAAAAACATAGGTGCCTGCTGTGCCTGCCTCTCCTCTAGTGAGTGGTAAATTGAGACACCACCTCACAGCTCACTGCTCCCATGGCCAGTCTGCACAGTACATGTTCCCAGTCTGCAGGAACAGGCGGAGATCAGCCAGAGACCCTGGCCTGAAGACACTTTCCTTGTATCCCCAATATCATCACCTACAAATGATAATGACAGCAAATCAGCACCCTAGAAACAACTCGCAGCCCAGAAATGGCAAGAAAGCCCACAGACACCCAAGAACTTCTCCAAGACTTGCAGCAGTGCACTGGGATTACCCTCTCCCAGGAGATACAGACCTGCCGGTACCTGCGCTCCGAGCACACCTTGCAGAGCCCATTGTAGCGGTTCATGGCTGCAACCCCTCAACTCGCCGGTAGCCCATGAAAATCCAGTCCCTGCAGCACAGCTGTAATCCCGGTCTCCTCGTATCACACGAGTGTGGAACAAACCCCAGTCAAACTGGCATGACCGCCCATGGGAACCCAGCTCCAGAGAAGAATGGCAGGAAGCCACCTCTCACCTCCCCGGCCCCTGCCTGCGCTGCGTGCCGCTCCACGATAAGCCAGAGGGCTTCCTGAGAACCCTCGCCGACAAGGAAGGGAGAGAGTTTTATATTAAAATTCCTGTCAACTAGTTAGTATTCCCTAGTCCCTGCTCTGTTGGTGTGGCTTTTGTTCCCTCAGCATTCTTCAGCCGCCCGGAGCACTTTGTTATTGCAACGTTCTCACAAACACTTGGAGGATGTTTGAGCGGCGTTTCACAGGCAGCGGCTGCGTGAGCTTCACTCCATTAAAGAGGGAGTTTGGTACTAGAGGATAAGGGGGGGTTATTATTTGTTGGGGTTTGGTTTTTTTTTTTTAAAAAAAAAAAAAGACAAGAAAAAGCAGAGCTTGTTTTGCAAAACACAAGCCCAGAGGATAACGCGCGTCCCCACGGTTTGTGCCCGCAGAGTCATGGAGGGGGAAGCAGAGAGGTCAAGTGAATTGCACCCATGGTGTAATTCTGGAAGTAAAGACAAACTCTTAACCCAGCCAGCACGGGGCACAGGGCAGGACCCACCGAGCCTGCACCAGGCAGCCCCAGCCGCCAGCGCTGCAGCACAGCCCCTTGCAGAGGGGGTGCCACAGCGGAGGCACCTTCCATGCTCCTACACGGGGATGGAAAAGATAGGAAAGGCTCAAGGGAACCCAAACCCAGGCTCTGTTAGAGCTGGGGTGGCAGGGCCAGGGGAGGGAGAACCAGGAGCCCCAGCATTCCCAGGGGACCCATCAGTGTGGTGGGGCCATCAGAGGAGCTTCCCAGGCGCATTGTCCCAGCCCGCCGGGCGGCAGCTGGAAGGAGGATCCACCGTCCTTCCCAGCCAGCACCTTTCAAGTCAGCAGTGACTGCCCGGGAGGAAGGGAGGAGAGGGGCGCTGGCTTTGTTTGTCTTGCTCAGCCCGGCGCTTTCAAACAAGTAACTGAAAAGGCAGCTGAGGGAAGCGCGCGGCGGAATTCGGCACAGATAAATCACGGGGCCGCCTGAGCCCCATTTCCGATGCAGGCCGCGTGTTTGTGTTCCCGTTTCCCATCCTTGCCTTTCCCATAAATCACCAAGGCTCCACCGTGGGCCTTTCCCTTCCCAGAGCAACCAGCCCTGCGAGGAGGAGGGAGCAGACCCACCCGGCGGGGCGACGCGGCGCCGGCCGGGAGCGCTGCCAGCCCCCTCCCCGAGCTCCCAGCAGCAGCTGTGGCCAGACCCTGCACCAACAGGAGGTCTCACTATGGCAGGGGAATTGTTACTACCTACATCACTCAATCAGTGCTCGACCAGGAGCACTAATTGCCTGTAAAAGCCACGGTGGTGACAGGGAGACAGATGCAGCCTCAGCTCAGCAGCAGCCGCGCTAGCAGCCCATGTCTTGGCCTCCCTGCAGCTCCCCGCGCCTTCACACCCTGCTGGGCACAGCCCTGGCACACCTACCTGCAGCTCCTTCATGGTGGCAGCATCCTGGCTTCCCTGCACTGCTCCCTGGCTACCCAGCATCAGCTCTGAAAGGCAAAAAGGGAGAGGCCATCTGAGCCCAACAGCACACGTGTCCTGACCGCCCCTCGCCCTCCACGCTGCGTTACACGCTGTGTGCACAATCCTTACGTGCCATCAGAACATCTCCGTGCTGGGGCAGCAGCTGTGGGCTGGCTGCACATCTGGACAGGCTCTGCTGTCTCACCCTGCCCCGTGCCAGCCTGTCCTCCACACCCACACACCCTGGCAGCACAGCAAGACCCAGGCAGGAGAAGGAGCTGCCCACCATCCTGCACAGACCCCTGGAGCCAAACGGTCAGGCCATGGGATCAGCCCCAAGTCTGAAAGGCAAGAATCAGCAGGACAAAAGGCCCAGCAAGAGGGTGAGACATGACTGCAATGTTGGGGTCCCCAGACAGCCCCAGGTCAGCAGGACTGAAGGGGAGAGCTGGGGGACTGTGCAGAGCCTGCTCCTGCACTGCTCCCTGGCTACCCAGCATCAGCTCTGAAAGGCAAAAAGGGAGAGGCCATCTGAGCCCAACAGCACACGTGTCCTGACCGCCCCTCGCCCTCCACGCTGCGTTACACGCTGTGTGCACAATCCTTACGTGCCATCAGAACATCTCCGTGCTGGGGCAGCAGCTGTGGGCTGGCTGCACATCTGGACAGGCTCTGCTGTCTCACCCTGCCCCGTGCCAGCCTGTCCTCCACACCCACACACCCTGGCAGCACAGCAAGACCCAGGCAGGAGAAGGAGCTGCCCACCATCCTGCACAGACCCCTGGAGCCAAACGGTCAGGCCATGGGATCAGCCCCAAGTCTGAAAGGCAAGAATCAGCAGGACAAAAGGCCCAGCAAGAGGGTGAGACATGGCTGCAATGTTGGGGTCCCCAGACAGCCCCAGGTCAGCAGGACTGAAGGGGAGAGCTGGGTGACTGTGCAGAGCCTGCTGACCCAGCCAGGACCTCCCCCACACTGATCTTTGGGATCCTGGTTCTCACTGAGCCTCCCAGGGCTGAGAGATGCTCCTGGGGGCATTAGTGTCATGAGGCTGGGGACAGACACGAGGTCGACTCCTCTTCCAAACTTTGCCAACACTCCCTGGGACATCCAGTGGGGAGACCCACCTCTGCTCTGCTTCAGCTGCCTCGTGGCCACCTTCAGGTGCTTGGTCCTGCCCAGGTCCTCCCCAAGGAGATAGTACCAGCCACTGATCTCCTGGGTGGGAGGAAAGAAGCTGTTGATGCAGGGGCAGATGCTCACCCCATTCAACTCATCCTGGGTGCCTGTAGCCCCCGAGGGTCCTGTTGCAGGAGCTGCCCCAGGTCGACAAACATGGGCTGCCCAGACATGCTGACACCCCGAGGCCCACCCTGGAGCCCTTCTCTTAGGATAAAGCAACAGCTGAACTCCACCCCACTGGAGTAACAAGCTTCTTCTACATGGGTGCATAAGGAGAGGACAAGGGGCAATGGTTTGAAGCTTAAAGAGGGGAGATTCAGGTTGGACATTAGGAAAAAGTTATTTCCTGTGAGGGTGGTGAGAGCCTGGCCCAGGTTGCCCAGGGAAGCTGTGGCTGCCCCATCCCTGGCAGTGTTGAAGGGCAGGTTGGATGGGGCTTGGAGCAACCTGGGCTGGTGGGAGGTGTCCCTGCCCATGCAGGGGGGTTGAAGCTAGATGATGTTTAAGGTCTCTTCCAACTTAAACCATTCTAGGTCTTTAGAGGGAGACAAGGTGCAGAACAAAAGCCAATCTCCAGTAAAATTGCCCATGTGGTGCTTGCAGCAGCCTCCAGCCTTACCACCAGGGGAGGGTGCCCAAACCAGGCAGCAGGCACGAGGTCCTACTCAGTGTTCCCATGCCCAGGTGGCTGGGGCAGCCAAGAGGACACAGCTGGCCTTGGTGATCCCTCATCTCTCTTCAGGGAGCCATCACTATCTCCTATCACTGCCCAGGCAGGCAGGAGAAGCCAGAGGGGCCAAACATCCTGGCCCCAGCCCAGCAGTTGGATGGGGTTGCACAAAATTAGTGGTTTATATCCATGGTGAGGAAACTGTGGAGAGGGAGGGATATTCCAGCAGCACCATGCAGAGCCCAGGGAACAGGGTCAGCTCATCTTAGCCCCAGCTGAGGTCCTAGTTGGACCTCATCCCTCAGCATCCTCCTCCCATCCCTGTGAGAGTAGGATGCCATGGGGGTGCAATCCCTCCTCTCAGCATGTAATGACACCTTGAGAAACTCACTGCTAAAACCTGACAAGGAGGGGACATTTTTGGAGGGGGCAAAGATGACCACAGCAGAGGCCTTTCCTGGGGAGAGCTGCAGGTCAGAGCCTGTCTGCCAAATTATCTTCACTGTTACAAAAAAAAAAAACCTGCTTCTCACTTATCCAAATTCCAGAGGA